CCCCTGGGGGGTGATTTCTCACTTTCTGTCTATCTGTCTCTGTCTGTCAGGCGAACGCACGTGGCCTATAGCAAAAACCTCTCCAAAAAAAATTTTTTTTATGTTCTCTCTCTTTTTTTTTTGGAGAGGTTTTTGCTATAGGGTGCGTGCACTCGCCAGAAAGACAGAGAGACAGAAAGTGAGAAGTCACCCCCCCCCCCAGGGGGGATGGCCATGCCACAATCCCTTCTCCTCCATTCTCCTCTCTGGATCTTGGGCACACACACACATGCACGCGGTGTCAGTTTAAGCCACCGGGTCTGGGACTCAAACCATGGTCAACTATATATAGGAGTCCAGAGACATAGCTATTACACCAACTTCAGGTCCCTACGTTCTCTTTTTAAAAATAAGTTTTGAAATTCTGTCTGTATTTTATGTTTACAACATGTCTCAAGTCATGCTACCCATGTTTCTAGTACGTAACAGCATGTATGGCTAGGGGCTACTATATCGGTCAGCACAGCTGCATTGCAGCGACTTTTGGAATGCTTAGCACATTCTTTTAAAAACAACAAAGCGTGTCTTTATTTATTTAGTGAGTTATCTATTTGCTGTGATTTTTAAGCTGCCAAGTCTGGGACTCAAACTGCAGTCGGTCATGTGGGAATCCAGTACCTTAGCCACCCTGCCACCTGCTAGTCCTGCTTAGCACGTTCTTGTTCCACTTTCAATTATGTGAAATAATAGCAGGAGCTTGAATTAGACTTCAAAGAAGCTAATTAAAGATAAAGGCGTTGGCTGGCCTGACGCACAGTGGTCAAGGGAGGCAGATCCTCTATGGCCAACCACTGTTTGAGTCTTGGCCCCAGTGGCTTAAAAATCATGCCAGTCACCTATGCGTGTGTGCTCAGAATCTTGACAGGATGGAGAAATGGAGAAAAAGGGATCACAATGTGACCTTTCCCCCATGGGGAGTAATTTTTCTCTCTCTGACAAATATGCATACCTGCTGTCAAAAGAAAAAAAAGAAAGTGAAAGCATTTATGAAAAGTGCTTGTCGTTATTCATGTACTTTTATTTAGCACTTAGATTTTGAGGACTTCTTATGCATACAAAGGACTTGAGATAAACAGATGAGTAAGGACTCTTGCGAGTTTGTGGAAAATAGGAGACAGATTTATTATTTGTTTGTGAGATATTTTTGCTATAGGGCACATGCACTCACCCAAGACACAGAGAGAGAGACAGAGAGAGAAAGTGAGAAATCACCCTCCAGGGAAGATGGCCATGCCATTCTCCTCCATTCTCCTCTCAGGATTTTGAGCATGGATTCACACATGCCCAGCATGAGTTTCAAGCCTCTGGGTCCGGGGCTCAAACTGCAGTCAACCATGTGGGAGTCCACTGGCCCCAGGAGACTGATTTATAGATAGATTGGTTGCAATATGAGGGGCTAAAGACCATGATGAATGGATAAAGGCATGCCATGAGAATAAAAAGATAAAAAAACTAACTCTTCCCAAAGCAGTCTGGAAGGCTTAACAGAGGACAAGAGAATATTTCAACTGACGTTTGTAAAATGACTCAAAATAAGGAGAAAGGGTATTATGGGCTAAAGAAACAGAATATATATGGGTATGAACACCTGCCTCATACCTTTACCAACCAAGCTAAGTAGGACTGCTTCTTCTGGTCAATGAAACAAGAGGCAGAGGCTGGAGAAGAGAGTTAATTTCTGTAACCAGTTACAGGAGGACAAGTAGCGTCAAACTGTCTCAAAAATCTTGACATGTTCTCTGTATTTTACGTCCAAGATAGAAGCACATGTAAATCACTCTCACTCACTCAATCAGAGTCAATTGCTTTCCCCTAAGTAATTATCTTAATTCCTTCAAATACCCGTTCCTGATTTCTCATCTGACCATTCTTCAAACAGATCTCCCTATGACTCAGCACTTGGTCAGATTGCTCCGTTATAGGCCTTGCTTAAGTTCAAAATGGCTGTAATCCTACTGGTTTGCTTCCATGTCAAGAAACTTACTGGACAAGTTATTTATTTAATTGTTGAAAGAGCAATAGCAAAAATCTCTCTTAAAAAAATTGTTGAGGGACCAGCAGTTGGTGTAATGGCTATGTTGTTGGACTCCCATGTAGTTGACTATGGTTTGAGTCCCAGTGGCTTAAACTCACACCAGGCGCATGGTGTGCGTGCCCAAGATCCCAAGAGGAGAATGGAGGAGAAGGGATTGCAGCATGGCCACCCCCTTCAGGGGGTGATTTCTCGCTTTCTGGCTCTCTATCTCTCTCTGTCTTTCTGGCGAGCACACGTGCCCTCTAGCAAAAACCTCCCCCCACTCCCACCTCTCCACCACGAAAAAAGAAAGAAAAAAAATTGTTGAAAGAGCAAAGCATTTTGTTTTTGTTGTTAGATATAGCAAAGCAGGGAGTTTATTGAAGGAGAGGGAAGGAAGAATAGAGCTCCTAGGAAGAAGGGAAGGGTCCCAAAAGATAGGTTGCCAAAGAGGAATTGGGGCGAGGGGTTTTTATCTGGGTCCGAGGGCCGTTGTTCAGGTTTGATCTAGGTGGGACTCATTCATGTAGATGCCGGATGGGTCCAATTATTTTCCTAATTTTGGAAAATAGATCAGGAGATTCTTTGTCTAGAAGCATTGGGCTATAAAAACCATTATCTTGAGAATAGAGCATTTGAAGAATAAGTAACAAGTGCAGTGGGTCTGATTGCTAGAATGTAAGAAGTGGAGGTGAAAATGAAAAAGTTGGTTCAGGCTGGACTCTGAAGGGCCTCCAGTGCTGTTCTAAAAGTTCAGTGTAACTTGGAGGAAATTTTGTACAGTGGGTAAACATGAGAGTCTTTGGGGTCAGAATGAACTGTGAATTTAAGC